TAACTGTAAAAGCTCTGTCCCTCAGGGTACCCCAGAACCCTGAGCCTGTGGCCATCACATCACTGATGGGAAGTCACCACCCAATCCATTGCCGGTCCCTACCCACAGCTGTGGCCTGTCTAATGACCACATAGGATGCTACAAAGTGGGGATCCAGGGAAGGCTCTGGTCCCTGCATGGTACACATGGGTAGGACTCACACTCGCTTCCGCTGCACCAGTTCCACGTAGTCTTCGGAGCGGGCATAGTACTCATCGGGGCTCAGGGCACCCCAGAAGTTGGACCAGAGCTTGCCATGGCGGGAAAGCATGGGGGCTATTACCTTCCTGGATAAAACAGAGGTGAAGGCTGGGCAAAAGGGAGTGAACAAGAGGGGACAGAACTATGTCCCATCCAAGGGAGGGGTGGAGTTCCTAGGCCCTCCTGGGGCTTTATGGATGCATAGGGTTGGCTGGTCACCTGTTTTGTTCAATCAAGATGCGCAGGGTCTCCGGGTTGGTAAGGACAGCATCAGCATCCAGGCTGAAGTAGAACTCACACTCGGGGTCCTGCCGACAGTTATCCCTGGAGGGGAAGACCCACAAATGGAGAGAGTTCAAATGGGGCATGCGGGCAAGGCAACGGGAACGGTGGGACAAGTGGGGATCTCCCAGCTCTGAGAGGAAGACAAGAGTCAGTGTGTGTCTCCTTCCCCAGGGGCTCCACCGTCTATGGCAGATGAGGGAGATTCACTCACATGGCCATGTCCCTGGCCTCGCCCGGGCTCAGGGCTTCCTCTGGCCCTACTAGCTTTGTAGCTGAGAAGTGGTCCTGGAGCTGCGGCCAGGCGTCTGCAATGTGAGGCTCATGGTACACCTCCTAAAGATGGGACAGGGAGGAGCATGGACTGACAGCTTGGGCAGAGGTGGTACCCAGAGATGCAATCAGGGCAGGACGGATGGGAAAAGGTGTAGGATGTGGGGGTGGGGAGGTTCCATATCTCACGTTGTTATGAAGGAAGAGAGAGATCCTGTCTGGGGGGTAATCCAGGAGCAGTAGGCGCTGCAGGAATCGAGGCAGGAAGGGGGTAGGCTGCTGCACAAACACGGCCAGAAGCACCCGGGGGGGAGGCTGAGAACACCACAGGACAAGGCTCACAGAAGCCCGGGCCTCTCTCTGCCCCGCTGCCAGGTCAGGACGCCCAGGAGCTCGGCAACTGGGGCTGCCCAGCTTGTCCTCCCCTACATCACATCTCTCTCCTCACCTGCCCCCCCGGGAGTGTCCTCTGGTTCTGGTTGCAGAAGCCACAGCCTCCCTGGGGAGTCCAGCCATTGGGGACATAGTTCCCCAGGTAGTTGAGCTGGAGCTGTTGGAACAGAGGGAGGGTAGCTGAGGTGGACATGTCTGGGGACACATGAAAGGCAAGCTGGGCTCAGCACAGGGTGAAGAGAGGTGGCTATCCCAGCACCTCTTCTACTGGGACTGGGGAGGACCAGATGGACCAGGAGGGATGGGGTACCCAGGGCTCGAGACAAGCAGGGGCTGAGGACCCCAGAGGCACCTTGGTGGGACCGTTTCCATGGACCACAACAGGGAGAGTGTCGTACGCCACATTTCGGATGCGCACACGATTCTGGTCGAACTTTAAGACCACTTCATCTGCGGGAGGAAAGGAGGTTTTCAGGAGTTCCTTTATCTGGGAACCACAGAGCAATGGGGTCCCAGCTCCTCTAGTGGACAGGGCAGTGTGGGGGACCAACGGTCTGGACTACAGCTCAGTCAGGGCAGTGCTTTCTTTTGTTGCTCTTGTCGGGCTGGGATTTCCTTATAAAAGCATTATTATTATATTTATTTACTTTGGTTTTTAGAGAGAGGGTTTCTCTGTAGCTTTGGAGCCTGTCCTGGAACTCACTCTATAGACCAGGCTGGCCTCGAACTCACAGAGATCTGCCTCCCGAGTGCTGGGATTAAAGGTGTATACCACCATTACCCAGCTTATTTTATTTTTCTAAATCATCATATAGTGTGTCCAACTGGGACTGGTGGGGTGGCCCAACGGATAAAGGAACTGGGCACCAAGCCTGGCACCCGGAAACCACACGGAAGTAAAGAGCTCTTCTCTGACTCCGCTCTGGGGCACGAGTGCTCCACCCCAAGACAAACACATGAGAAAAACAATATTTTTTGGAGTTTTTCTGTGAGTCCTTTCTTTCCTTTGATCGGGTCTCACTATGTAGCCCAGGATGGACTGCAACTCGAGGTCCTCCTGCCTCTGAGGCCAGGAAACTCACACCATCCTTGCCTTGCCAGTCTGTCCAGGCTGCTGCCGCCTTCGAGAGGTCACTCGACCTGACCTGGGGTGACTCACTAGTCCCTAAGGGAGTCAGTTTCTCACCTGCCAAAGGGTCTTCCAAGGTGGGAAGTCAGGGACTACTCCCTTTGCAGAAGCTCTGTGTTAATGAAATCACAGCGGTAGTAGAGTCCCTGACTGGGGACCTTAGCGTATGTCTGCTAGACAGATATGTGGATGGTGCTGGGGGCTGAACCTAGGGTTTCTGTATGCTAGGCACACCTTCTGTCCCTGAGTTCCTCGCTCCCCAGCCCCTCACTGAGGGATTCTAGGCAGGGGCTCTACCACTGAGCCACACCCCAGCCCCTCACTGGGGGATTCTAGGCAGGGGCTCTACCACTGAGCCACACCCCAGCCCCTCACTGGGGGATTCTAGGCAGGGGCTCTACCACTGAGCCACACCCCAGCCCCTCACTGGGGGATTCTAGGCAGGGGCTCTACCACTGAGCCACACCCCAGCCCCTCCCTGGCAAACCTGCAGCAGCATTCTGCTGCAGGGCCACACTCGCAGTCTCACTATTGCTAACACGCTTAGGTGTTGGATAGGTTAGCACACTGGTCATCCGTAGACCAGCCCAGTTCTGGCAGGAACCCGTCCCTCATCACCTACTTCGAACCATCTTCTTCCTCACCTAAGGCTCCATTGAGGTTCTGGAAGATCCGGGACTTATGGTCCAGATTAAGTTTGAGCTTCTCCTAGATGGCACGAGATGGAGCAGTGAACGAAGAGGGGACAGGTGACACCGCGTCTTTCTGCAACTCCCCTCATGTCAGTCAGGGGATGCCCCCGTCCCGAGTCTCCCTACCCGCAGCCCTGGGTCCAGGTACAGGCGCGTGTAGAACAACTGATCGTCATCGTCATCTTTGTATTTCCACTGACGGACAATTTGATGGATGGTCGGGGCGAAGCCAATGAATCCTGGGGGACAGAAAAGAAGTAGACCCCCAAGGATCCCAGGATCCCACTCTCTCTCCAACCCTCAAGAACCAGAAGCATGCGATGCCTCGCCGCTGAGGGCACTTTGGCACTCACCACCAGAGTTGAGGAAGCGCTTGCCCGTGCCCACCTCAGGGTACTGCTCGGCCAGTCCCCATTCGGGCCAGCAGAAGCTCTCGGCAGAGAACAGCAGATGACTGCCACTCTGGACAAACTTCTTCAGCAGCTCTGTCGGGCTGCTGGCCAGAATCACATCGTAGCTGGACGAGGAAAAGGGTCTCTTTTTCTCTCTGCTCCTCCGTTTTCCCTCTCTCTCCACCCAGACAGACCCTCCTTACCTGTCTACAAACATGATGATCATGTCTTCCCGATCCACGTACTTCTCCATTTCCTTCTTTAGCCACCTGACCTTCTGGCCTCCACCAACTGTTCGAGCAACATCACCCCCTCGCCACTCGTGTCCCAGGCCCAGGGTCTGCAGGAAAGAACCCAGCCCCACAGGTCAAGGTGAGGCAACACGACCAGCTCCCAGCCCACTCCTGACGGCACTTCTCCCATGAGTCCCCCACTCACCCGTACGGTGTAGTTAAAGAACTCCGCAGACTGCAGAAAACGCCGGTATCCCTCTGTCTCTGCCGTAGCCACAGTGATCACCAGCAATTTGTCTGACACAACCAAGGAATTAGCACTTAGGACCCACGTGTTTATCCCTGTGTATCCCCTCCATCTCCCTGTTACTTCACTTAAGTTCTCTCCCGTTCCTTCCTTAATTCCTGCTCAGGGACATTTGGTCTCCAGAAGAGTCAAGAAACAGGAATGGGGGCTGGGGTGTTCCTGTCTGTCTGGGGAGACTGGAAGCCCCTAGTTCAGCGTGGGGAGAGGGTGCTGCGCTGGGTCCCCGGTGAGAAAGGACACTCCCTCCCAGGCTGGCAGACGTGTCGACTCTGCCCCCTCGGCCTCCCGGGTTCTCACCTGGGTTGACAGGGTTCGAGCCCCGGGGTCGATCGGAGGCAGAAGTCACTGAGGGCAGCGGCGGCAGCAGCAACAGCAGCAGGAGCAAAAACCGGGGTTCCGGGCCCGAAGCAGCCATGGTCAGCAGCACCCTCAGGCGACACCCGGGCCCGCCACGGGGCTGAGCTCAGCGCCTGGATTCCGACTCTGGGAGAAGGTTCTGGGAAAAGGGAAGCCGAGCCCGCTGTGAGGAGGAGCTGGGCTTGGGACTCCGCCCTGGAAAAAAGGCGTAACCCGAGGCCACCGAAAACCCGAGATGCAGACGGCGAGACAAGGCAAGGCTTGTCCCGTGGGCGCGGGCTGGGGGTGGGGAGGAGCCGGGGAACCGAGCCCCCGGGGAGGGTCCAGGGGACGCGGGGGCGAGTCTTGGCCGCAGTCCGGATCCGGAGGAGGACTGGACGGCGAGGCCCGCGAGGGCGCGCGGCGGGGACGACGGGCCCGGAGAGGCGGGATCGCGCGGACATCGCTGCGGGCGGGGGTTCCACAAAGCCCCGAACCTGCCCACCACGCCTCCCGCTTCCCGGGGACACGCCCCGGGACCCCGCAAACCTCCCGCACCATGTTTTAAAAGTAACCCTTGGCGGGTGGGGCGGGTCAGGGGCTCCTAGGTTTTTGTTTTTGTTTTTTTAAAACAACCACACCGAGACCGGAAGTAGGTTTGCCCCTATCAAAGATGGCGGAAAAGCTTTCTGGTCTCCAAGGGAACAACACGGCCGACTTCAAATAGGCGGGGCTTGACTGCGCACGCGCCCGAGTGCACGCCACCGGAAGGGATGCGCTTGGGCCGAGGGTGGGTGGTTAATACGCGTGCGCAGTAGACTCTTCCGACAACTGTTGCGCAAATGGTGGAGAAGAAACCCTCGGGTACGTGAGCCTTTAGAGGTTCGCCCTTTTCTGCATCCCAAGTTCGAATCCATCTTAACATTACCCCGCCGCCCGGTTATTCCTGTCAAATCCCCTTGCAGGCCCTCTCGCCCGGCGTTGGGGCAGCGCCGCAACCATTCATTCGTGTTTGGTGAATGTTTTGGTGAATGTTTGCCGTAAGCTAGACACCAGGGATGGAGAGGAGAGCCTTGTCATTCCAAAGCCTGGGTGCAATGAGCATTTGTACCCACCCCAGCTTCTGGATGGAGGGGACGGAGACGCTTAGGAAATCAAAGGCCTTGGCTTTAGGTTCACCACCACCACGCACGCCACTCTTCAAGTTCTTTTTTATTTATCGAGACAAGTTTCACTTTGTACCCTAGGCTGCCTGTGTAGTTAGGCTGGTCCTGCCTCAGCCTCTCGATGTCTTGTAACCAGGTCTGTGGTTTGAGAGGGTTCTGGCTTGAGACTGGCATGTTATGTGGAACACAGCTCTTTCTTTGCGTTAGAAGCACCAGGAATGGGCTGCCCAGGTGACCCAGTAGGTAAGGGTGTTTGCTGCCAAGCTTGAGTCAGTCAGTCCCTAGGACCCACATGATGGGAGAAAAAAAATTCCACAAATTGTCCTCTGTCCTCCACCCGTGTACTGCGGTACCCACATGCGCACAGAAACACATAAAATAAATGAGCTTTTTGAAGTATGAAATGCTAGAGAAAGAGGCCAGGGATTTGGCTCGGCTGGTAGAGGGCTTGTCTGGTAGGCACAAAGCTCTGTTTCATTCCCCAGCACCACAGAAACCACAGGCGTGGTGGTGCATAAGAGGTCATTCAGAGTCGTGCCCAGCTACGTAGTAAGTTCCAGGCCAGTCTGGGCCTCCTGAGACCCTCCTGAAGGTTGGGGGGAGGTGGGGTTATTAATAGAAGAAGGACAAGCAGAGGTGGCCTGAAGAGGGGGGCCAAGATGTGGGACTGGAAAGCACACCAGCTGTGACAGGAGGACAGTTGGAAGTCACGCCAAGGAACAGAGACTCTTAGTTCAAGGAAGGTATTCAGTGCAGTCACAGGGCATAGGAATGCAACTCAGGCTGAAGGAACATTCTAGAAACATACGCTGGATTTGGCCCTGCAGAGTCACAGGTGTGTTGAATAGGGAAGCCAGAGGTCAACATAGTGTCAATCCTCTACATACACTCCCTTATTCTTTAAAATTTATATATGCGTGTGTGTGTATTGCTATGTGCGAATGGAATGTTAGATAAAGGCTAGGGATTTGTGCCCACGGAGGACCTGGAGCTGGAGTTACAGATGGTTGTGAATCACCCTAGTGGTTAATGGTACTGTGTGCTGGGAAACGGAACTGTAACTCTGCAAGAGCAGAAAGTGCTCTCAACCCCTGTGCCATCTCTCTAACTGCAATTTATTGTGTCTCGAGTTACTGCTGGTACTGGGGACGAAGAGCATGAAAGGCTGAAGTCGGCTCCCCCAGCTGAAAGGAAGCAGAGTCAAGAACTGGGAACTTCCCGCAGCATAGTGATGGGGCAAGGCCGGGAGACTGTGGCTTTCTGCCCTACCAGCCCAGCTGCCTTCCTTTCTTGTCTTCCATAACTCTTGTTTGTCCCATCTAGTTCGCTCCCAGGACCCTGGACAGCGGCGGGTGCTGGACCGGGCAGCCCGGCAGCGGCGGATCAATCGACAGCTCGAGGCTTTAGAGAACGACAATTTCCAGGATGACCCCCACGCAGGCCTCCCCCAGCTGGGCAAGAGGCTGCCTCAGTTTGATGACGATGCAGACACAGGTGTGGTGGGGGTTGTGGGAGAGAGGATGAGATGGTGTCGCGAAGTTCCCGGCAACCTGTTACCTCAGATGCCATGGAGCAGAGATGGGAATTGAATCTTTATTGTATTTTTTCATTTCTTTAGTGTGTGTGTGTATTTATGCATGTGTGTGTCTGTGCAGTTTTGCACATGCTTGCATGTGGAGGTCAGACAGAAACTTATTGGTTCTCGCCTTCCACCCTATAGCAGCGTTTGAACTAAGTCACTCAGGTTGCTGGGTTTGGCTGCAGGTGCCAGCCCCTGGTTCTTCAAAACTTCAATTTATTTAGACAGTCGACAATCTGAGAAGAGAATGCATCTTCAGTCAGCAGGTTATACACAGACAAAATGCTGTTGGTCATTCTGGATTGACTGACTTCCAGTCTCTCCCCTCTGTGTCACGTTTCTGAGACTTGTGGTGACTATGTCTCTCATTATCATCCCTTGATCTTGTCCCTCATTCTGTTGATGTCTGAGCTGGTGGGCAAAGGCACTTTGAACCACTGAGTAACTCAGTGTCTGCTGGGGTTACCTTTGTCCTCCAAGGATGCCTGGACTGGGAGGGCAGGATTAACTTGACAAAAAACCATCAACAGCTGTGTTTGCTAAGCTAGTGATAAATGTACATGCCTGTTCTTTCTCTGCTCTTCCTATTGCGGGAGGATTTTGTCTGTCTGTGTGGACTATTATTCTAAGATGTGTTACATTTGTTTATGCTGTGGAGTATATTTTTTGTTTGTTTGTTTGTTTTTTTAAAAAAATATTTATTTATTATGTATACAATATTCCATCTGTGTGTATGTCTGCAGGCCAGAAGAGGGGCACCAGACCTCATTACAAATGGTTGTGAGCCACCATGTGGTTGCTGGGAATCGAACTCAGGACCTTTGGAAGAGCAGACAATGCTCTTAACCACCGAGCCATCTCTCCAGCCCCCTGTGGAGTATATGTTTAATGATGCAAAGATGTGTTGCATTCTTTTATGTTGCATTTGTTTTACTCTGTGAAGCTGGGTTACTTTGCCTGTCTAAAATACCTGATTGGTCTAGTAAAGAGCTGAATGACCAATAGCAAGGCAGGAGAAAGGATGGACAGGGCTGGCAGGCAGAGAGAATAAACAGAAGGGGAAAAGAGGGTTGAGGAAACAAGAGAGATCAGGAGTGCAGAAGGAGAATAGGAAGACTCCAGGGGCCAGCCACCCAGCTACACAGCAAGCAACAAAGTAAGAAGTAAAGAAAGGTATATAGAAATAGAGAAAGATAAAAACCCAGAGGCAAAAGGTAGACATGATAATTTAAGAAAAGCTGGCTAGAAACAAGCCAAGCTAAGACTTGGCATTTATAAGTAAGAATAAGCCTCCGTGTATATGATTGTTTGGGAGCTGTGTGGTGGGCCCCCCAAAGGAGCTAAAGAGCAAAGAAGTAAAACAGCCAACTACAGTCTATATTTTGAGAAAGGGTCTCTATATATAGGCCAGACAGGCCTTGCACTCACAGAGATCCTCCTGCCTCTGCCTCTCAGGTGCTGGGATCAAAGGTGTTCGCCACTACTGCCCAGAGAGATTTTTAAAATTTAAACAATTTCTGTTGCTCTATTTGTGCATATATGTGCACACATGCATGCCGTGGCATGGAATGCGGGTGGATGTCAGGACACCTTTCAGGAGTTGGCTTCCCTCTTTTGTGATGTGAGTCCTGGGGTTTCAACTCGGGCTGTCAGACTCGGCAGCAGCTCTTTACCCACGGAGCCATCTTGCTAGCTCAAGTGTGTCTTTTTTTTTTCTTTTTTTTCTTTTTTTTTCAAGACAGAGTTCTCTGTAGCTTTGGAGCCTGTCCTGGAACTAGGCTCTTGTAGACCAGGCTGGCTTCGAACTCACAGAGATCTGCCTGCCTCTGCCTCCTGAATGCTGGGATTAAAGGCATTCACCACCACCACCTGGCTTCAAGTATGTCTTTTTTTTTAATAAAAGATTTATTTATTTATTTATTTATTTATTATATATACAGCATTCCTTCTATGTATGTTTGCATGCCAGAAGAGGGCACCAGATCTCATTATAGATGGCCGTGAGCCACCATTTGGTTGCTGGGAATTGAACTCAGGACCTCTGAAAGAGCAGTCAGTGCTCTTAACCTCTAAGCCATCTCTCCAGGCCCAAGTATATCTTTTTTAATACAGAATATAAAAGTATCCAAGCCAGCAGTGGTGGTGCATGACTTTAATCCCAGCACTCGGGAGGCAGAGGCAGGTGGATCTCTGTGAGTTCAAGGCCATCTTGGTCTACAAAAGTGAATTCCAGGAGAGGCTCCAAAGCTACAGAGAAATCCTGTCTTGAAATAAATAAATAAATAAATAAATAAATAAATAAATGTATCCCTGTTGGCCGGGTGTTAGTGGTACGCACCTTAAATCTTAAAACTTGAGAGGCAAAAGCAGGCAGAACTCTGAGTTCAAAGCCACCCTGGTCTACAGACTAGTCCAGGACAGCCAGGGCTACATGGAGAAATCCTGTCTCATAAACAAAAAAACTATCCCTGTCATTGGGAAAGAAAAGAAGTCAAGGCTGTGGAGGCCCATGTGGGATGGGTCCAGCAGAGGGTGGCTGGGAACCAGTCCTGTCTTTGCCAATGACTAGTTCCTGTGCTGGGAGCAACTGTCTTCCCCTCTCTGCGCCTGCGTGTCTTCATGTGGAGTAAAAAAGATGGAGCACCAGGTATGATGGTGTGTACACCAACACACAGAAAACTGAGGCAGGAGAATTGCCACAAGTCTAAGGTTAACCTGGTCTATATCGTGAGTTTGACGTCAGCTTGGGGTATGTAATGAGACCTTATGTCAAGTCAGCGAAAACGAAAGGCCTGTGGTTTCAGCACGTGAGAAGTGGAAGCAGGAGGACTAGTCCAGGGTCATCCTTTTCTACATAGTGAGCTCATGGCCAGCCTGGGCTACCAGGATTGGAGATGTCAGGGTACAGGCAGACCCCAAGTGTCACAGCAGCTGTCCTTGGTTCCCCTAGGAAAGAAAAAGAAGAAAACTCGAGGTGACCATTTCAAGCTTCGCTTCCGGAAAAACTTCCAGGCTTTGCTGGAGGAGCAGGTGAGAGAGTCCTTGGCCTGGTGGTGGTGGTGGTTCCCTCGAAAGTAAAGGGTCCTTGGTGGACATCAGCTGCATGGCAGATCAGAGCACTTAAGATGCCTGTCCCTTCATGTCTCTGCAGAACCTGAGTGCGTCTGAGGGTCCCAACTACTTGACAGCCTGTGCGGGTCCCCCATCCCGACCCCAGCGCCCCTTCTGTGCTGTATGTGGCTTCCCATCCCCGTATACCTGTGTAAGCTGTGGTGCCCGGTACTGCACAGTGCGCTGCCTGGGCACCCACCAGGAGACCAGGTGAGCCTGACTCTAACCATGCCCTAGTGCCATTCCACACAGCATCCAGGACCTCTCTCCGCCTCCAACGGGCTTCTTTTCTCTCTGCAGGTGTCTGAAGTGGACCGTGTAAACCTGCATCAGGAGAAGAAGTACCCCCAACCCTTCCCCCAGCTCATCCTCAAAGGGTAGAGAGAAGAACCATCCATTCACGCAGCGAAGCTGTGTCCTGCCAACCAACGGAGACCACACGGACCCCGGGGACTGTGTGGGATTGGTCTAACCCACAGAGTTATAATAGATGTAAATATAAAAAGTGATCAAAAATGGCCCAGTGAAAAGAACCTGCCGGCTTTTTCTGAGGTGTTTGGAGGTGACTGTCGCTCCTGCATGTGTCCTGTCTTCCCTCGTCTGGCCTTCCGTTGTTTGCCCTCTGTGTTGTGGGGTTTATATCCCATCTCCAGCTACGCTTAAGTCATCTCTGCCTTTAGTAGCAACTGCTTTAGTTTGAGGGACTCAGTTCTCTTTCTCCCTTGTTGAGACAAGATTTTTACTGTGTCTCCCCTCAGTGGGCTTCAGGCTAGCTCTTCCGCGAGCTTCCAAGTGAGCGTCCTACATGCCATCTCACTGTAGAGGTGCTAGGATTGCAGATAGGAGCCAGGGCACGTGTAGGGGCTAAGAACCAACCGTGAGTCATCAGGCTTTCAAGGGTCCCACTGCCTTACCCGCCCGGCCATCTCCCCTGCCCTGCCTGTTAGAGCCACGGAACAACAGCCACTTGAGTACCTTTGGGAAAAAATTTCCTGCTGGGCTAGAGATGGCTCAGTGGTTAAGCACACTGGTTGCTCCTCTAGAGAACCCAGTTTCGATTTCCAGCACCCACACTACGATCTGTAACTCCAGTTTGAGGGGATCTGACACCCTCTTCTGAGGGTGCTTTATGCTCATGCTTGGAGTGCAAAGATATATGTGAAGACAAAACACACATACATAAAACAATAAACACATACATAAAAACAATAAGCAAGCAATAACACATACATAAAACAAACACATAAAACAATAAACATAAACAATAAAGACACAAAACAATAAACATACATAAAACAATGACACATGCATAGAACAATAAACGCATATACATAAAAACAATAAAAGTTAAAAAAATTCCTCCTCTTGGGGGCAGGCATCTCTTCACCAGAGGTCATAGCTTCTGGAAGCTTGTAGAGGGGCTAAGGAGGGAGGGATCCCAGCCAGCCAGTGAGGCCAGCTGCATCAACCCTGGTGGTTAGTGTCCTGTTACAATCCCTCTTCTTCACCTCCTGTCGGTTGCCTCGAGTTTTTCCCTTGTTTTTGAAGATTTAACAGCGTGTGTATGTGTGTTCCCACCGCGCTGGTTCCACGAGTTGGACTCAAGTTGTCAGTCTTGGCAGTGTGTGTGTGTGTGTGTGTGTGTGTGTTCCCACCGTGCTGGTTCCAGGAGTCGGACTAAAGCTGTCAGCCTTGGCAGTGTGTGTGTGTGTGTGCGCCCACCACGCTGGTTCCAGGAGTCGGACTCAAGTTGCCAGCCTTGGCAGCACACATCTTTGCCCGCTGAACCATCTTCACCGGCTCTATTTCTTAGTTATTCTTAGGAATTTAGTTTGGAAGGAAGTAGGGTTTTTGGATTTGTTTTGTTTTGAAACAGGGTTTCTTGTGTAGCCCTGGCTGTCCTAGGACTCCCTCTGTAGACCAGGTTGGCTTCAGACTCAGAGATCCACCTGTCTCTGCCTCCTGAGTGCTAGGATTTAAAGCATGTGCTACCATACCTGACTTGGAAGGAGGTTTTTTTTCTTTTCTTTTCTTTTTTTTTTTTTTTTTTTTTTTTTTTTTGGTTCTTCAAGACAGGGTTTCTCTGTGTAATAGTCCTAGCTGTCCTGGAACTAGCTCTTGTAGATCAGGCTAGCCTCAAACTCAAATAAACCCACCTCCCTCTGTCTTTTGAGTGCTGGGGATTAAAGGCATGTACCACCATTGCCCAGTCCTGGAAGGAGATATTTTTAATCTTTCTGGTTCTGAGTGTATTTTTACTTCTTTCTCCTCCCTCCCCTCTACTCCTGCTCCCTCCTCTTTTGCATCTCTCTCTGTTTCTCTCTCTCTCTCTTACTCTTCTTTATTTTTTTTTATGGAGTTTAATATATTACCCAAGCTCTTCTACAGAACCTCACCTAACAGGCTTCACCTGGAGGGTTCTGGGTAAACACTCCACCCTTGAGCTACACCCCCTACTCAGCTCACTTTTTATTTTGCAGTTTAAACAGGATGTCACTAGGTGGTCCAGACTGACCTCGCTCTAGCTCCAGCAGGCCTTGAACTCCTGATCTTGCTGCCTCCCCAGCAGCTGTGATTACAGACTGCACTATCACCAGCCCTTCGTGTGTTTGCAGTTATAAGCTAGCTTCAAGGGCTGGGTACCTGGGCAAGTGGAGCGAGGGCTGAGGAGCGTTGAGAAATGATAGGAGAGGGAACCAGTTCTGTCTGACACTTTAAGTGGGATCAGTCAGGCTGGTGCTTGTCCTGTCCCCATGCTCCTTAGGATGTCAGAAGAGGAGTGTGTGTGGAATTACTACAGCGTACAACTGAGCCGTTCCCAGGAAGTCAGAGGTCCCGTTGCTGATGGTGCTGGTGCTGAGACTGACATGGCGTTTACAGATCAGTGCTTCTCTAAGTGGATTGCAAGCTGTAATCATGTAATCCTGGAAATTACCCTGCTAAGTACAGCAGGGTGTCCTAAGTAGTTGTTGAACAAATGACCTTAATAAGCTACTAATGAGATCCAGCAAAGTTTTGTGAGGGTTTTTTTTTTGTTGTTGTTTTGTTTTGCTCTTTGAGACAAGTTCTCCCTAGAATTTTGTTTGGTAAGATGGTATAGTGGGTGAAGGCACTTGTGGCTGAGTCTGGGGACCCGAGTTCGATCCCTGGGACTGACTCCCACAAGTTGTCCTCTGACTTCTGCATGTATGGTTGGCACACGTGTGTGTACTCTTACACACACAAAGTACCTAAATGTTTTCGTTAGTCAGGCAGTGGTGGCGCATGCCTTTAATTCCAGCACTCAGGAGTCAGAGGCAGGAGTGTATCTCTGAGTTTGAGACCAGCTTGGTCTACAGAGTGAGTTCCAGGACAGCCAGGGCTACACAGAGAAACTCTGTCTCCAAAAAGGGGGGGATGTTTTGTTTTGTTTTGTTTTTTTAAAGTTGCCCTTGGTCTTTTATAGCTATGTGACCACACAGTGACTGAAGAAACAAGCCCAGCACAACGGCCATGCTCAATGCAGTTAAGGGTGCAGTTGTGCAACTCAGCTCAGGCTTTCTGAAAGGAAAAGGAAAGAAGAGGCAGGCAGGGGAGCCGATGCAATTGAGTGGGTTTGTTATAGAAAAAGAAAGGGCTGCTTGGCAGAACTCAGAGGCAGACCCTGCCTGCTCACCACTCAGCTGCGGGAGACACCAGTCAGGAGCCCGTCCCTTTCTCCCACTGGACTAGAAGTTTCTGTCTAGTGGCTTCATTTCCTTTCTCCCTCCCCCCTCCTTCCCTCCCTCCCTCCCCCCTCCTTCCCTCCCTCCCTCCCTTTCTCTTGTGTGTGTGTGTGTGTGTGTGTGTGTGTGTAAGTATTTGTGTACATGATAGGTGCAAAACAACCGTGGGTGTTCTGGTTCACTTCTGCTGTTAACTGACACAGCCCAAAATTATCTGAAGGAGTCTCAGTGGGGGACTGGATCAGATTGGCAAGTGGGGAGTTTTCTTATGTTCATTGATGAGGGAGGGTTCAGCCCACTGTGTGTGTTTCCATCCCTAGGCAGGTGGGCTTGGAGTCTTTTTGGAGGGGGTGTATGGTTTCGACACAGGGTTTCTCTCTGAAACAGTCGTGGCTGTCCTGGAAATCACTCTATAGACCAAGCTGGCCTCAAACTCACTGAGATCCCCCTGCCTCTGCCTCGAAGAGCTGAGATAAAGGCACACACAACCACTGCCCAGCAGGTATCACTTTCTTATAAGGTCCTCTCTCGACGCTTGAGCTTCTGTCTATATTAGAATATCTTTATTAAGAGACTGAAGAGATGACTCTGTGGATAAGAGCACTAGCAGCTGACAGAGGATCAAGATTCTGCTCCCAACACCCACAGATGTCAGCTCACCACCACCTGTAATTCCAGTTCCAGGGGATCTGGTGCCCTCTGTTGGTCTCTTCAGGTACCTGCAGGCACATGGTACACAGAAACACACACATACATGTAAATAATGCATCTTTTAAAATATCTTTATTAAACCCCAAATCTAGTTCACACGCACATACACACACACACAGACACCTGTTCTGGATCAACAGCTCCTCCATGCAGCTGGAAGAACACAGGTTAAGAGTCAAGAGAGAGAGACGCCAGGGGGCATCCCAGCTAGCAATAATTCCCTGAGGTGGGTACTGGCAATGCCTTTTGTTGAGAACCTGTGCATGCTGTTTGTGCACAGTCTGTGTGCCTGCACAGGTCGGAGGAGGGCTTCCAGCACTTTATCATTCTCTGCCTTAGACCTCTGAGACAGGGTCTCACATTGAACCTGGAGATAGGCTGGAAGCCAGTAAGCCTCAGAGAGCCTTCCCAACAGTGCTGGGGGTATGGGAGTGTGACCTGGCCTGGCTTTTTACATGGGTTCTGGGGATTTGAACTCAGATCCTCACTGGATGAGACAGCTCAAAAGTGGACAATATTGACAGTCTGTGGTTTGAGAGTGAGCCCCTCACTCGGCTGCAACTTCATGGCCCCTGAAGCCCCTGAACAATCACAATATACATTTATTTATGCATGTATTTATATGGCATCACAAGCTGCAGACACCTCTGTCCCCTTGGGTCCAGCTGTAGGAGGCCATGTGAGTTGCCCCCCGCAGCTTCTGTCCCTGGGGGAGGCTGGAGTGCCAGAGAAGGTATACCCAGAGCAGGTCATGGCTTCCAGGCGCAGGGTGGTGCCTGGAAATGGCCTGTCCTGAGGTTATTAACTGGAGACTGGTCCGAGCATCCTGGGGACACTTTTCCACTGGGGCCGTGTCCACCAGGCCAGAGCTCCTACACGTAGGCGTTTTTGCCATATTTGCCAAAGCTGACATTGCTTTCGTCTGAAGTGGTTTTGGGTATCACGACCGTAGAAGCTTTATAGGGAAGCCTGGCCCTGTGGAATTGAGAGGAAGGCAGGGTCACAGGTGGTCACAGCATGTTGCCATCCTTGCTCCATCCTCCTCCCTCTCCTCACCTGGTGGCTGGTTCCTCTTTAGAGGCGCAGCAGCAGGTGGAAAAGAGACAAATGCCGCCCAGAATGGAGAGCAGGGAGGCACTCCAGCCCAAGTAGAGAGCAGGACCCAGCTCGTACCTGAGGAGCAGAAGAGGTAAGTGCCAGCCCAGAGGGGCTAGCCCAAAACCTACCCATTGTCCTCAAGGGCAGGGTTCCTCACTTACTTGGTTCCAACATACAAGGGGTTGAAGAAGTCAGTAGTGATGTTGACGGCGTACCAGGAGATAGCCACCATTCCGCAGGTACCTGGAGAAAAGGGTGGGAGTGGTCCTCTGGGCCTTTTTCGCAGCCACAACCTCTCAAAGCAAGTGAGCTCTGAGGGGTTTGAGGGACTGGACGTCATGTCCAAGAGAAATAGTCTCTTTCCTCTGTCCCAGACACAGCCTGTGGCCCAGACACATTCAAACACAGCCTTTAGGCCACTTGAGTCCTAGGATATCTTACTTTTTTTTTTGTTTGTTCTCTGTTTGATTTTATTTTTTTTGAGATAGGGTTTCCCTGTGTATCAGTCCTGGCCATCCCAGAACTTGCTCTGTAGACCAGGCTGGCCTCGAAATCACTGAGATCCGCCTGCCTCTGCTTCCCAAGTGCTGGGATTAAAGGTGTGTGCCACCACTACTCAGTGGGATATCTTACATTTTTAAAGATAATCTTATGAAGCCTAGGCTGTGTAAAACCCAGCCTCCATCTTTGGAGGCCCCTCCCCTGTGCCCCTTGAACCTTGACCCCTCTCCAGGAAAGGTCAAGACCATTCCCACGGGCTATTTAAACTCCTCCCCCCAAAAATAAACACGTGGTTTTCCCTTTTCCTCTCCAGTGGTCATGTTGGTGACTTCCTGTTCCCCTCGGGGCCACCCAGGAGTGCAGGTTTCTAATTAAATCTGGATATTTTTTAATCTGGTCTGATTTGGCTTGATTGGGATTATTTTGCGTTGGCAGAGAGCTCACGTTAAAAAATATTCCTAACAGGCTCTCCTTGAACTCACCACATAGCCTGGCATGACCCTGATCCTGCTACCTCTTGAGATTATAATCATGAGCCACCACACAGAGTTAACTCAGTGCAGGGGATGGAACAACTGGGCTTTGAAGATGGGGGTCACAATTGGCTTCATTTTCTCTGCCAGCTAAAGAATTAAGAGGCAGGGAAAATCTCAAGCTGGCCAGGTAGCAGAGAGAAACCTTGAACACAGCAGATGAATCCGCAGGTGATTCCTGCCGACCTCCCTATGGGTTATCGTCCATCGCTGGTCACATGGCTCTATGCCTGCTAGCCCTCAAAATATACTGAGGGGCTAGGATTTAGAAAGAGTCCCCGGGGGACAAGGAGAGTGGCCATGCCTAGGTCATGAAGATGGTGAACTTCTAAGACGGCTGGCTTCCCCCTCCCTTCTGGACTTGGGACAAAAGCCTGGCAGCTTAAAACAAGGGCCTTGTTGGCTTTTATTCCTCCTGCCCATGGGTGAACTGGCTCATGGGTTCAGTGCTGGATCAGGACATGTTATGCAACAGCTGAGGGCCAATCAGTCATCCTGTCTGTCTTCACACTGACCAACCCTAAAGAGGAAAGGCTCTTCAGACTTAAACGTCCCGCCTTCAAAAGATCCTGGACTTTTGGCTTCTCAGTTCCCCCTCTGCCTTGCTGAGTGTTCCTCTGTGTGTCTGCTGCATGCGTGTGTCTCCTCGTGCCCGATAAATGCCTTTTCTCACCTGCTGATTCATCTGCTGTGTTCAAGGTTTCTCTCGGCTACCTGGCCAGCTTGAGATTTTCCCTGCCTCTTAATTCTTTAGCTGTCAGAGAAAATGATCATGACCCCTGTCTTTGAAAGCCTGGTTGTCGAGAAAGTCTTTCCTGCCCCGACAGACATCCCTGTGAGTTATCACCCGTCACTTGTCACGCTGGCTGGGGGACCTTTCCAAACCTTCAAATCTAGAAAATGGGAAATACCTACCCTGTCTGGATTTTTTAAAATGACTATTATCAATATTATTGTTTTACTACTATTGGTGTGCGGGGGTATGTGTGTGAGTACAGGTGCTCACTTTCAGTTGGTTCTTCCCATCCACCCCGGGGATACCTGGACCAATCTTGGGTCACCTCAAAATCCATTTCTTCGCTCACCAGTTCTGCATGGTTTTTTGTGAAGAAACGTGTGCAGAAATGTAACAAGCTGGACAGTAAGGTATAGGCCGTCTATAGCATTGTTACTGTGTGTGTGTGTATACACCATGACTCTGATCCCCCGTAAGTTTCGGAGGAAATAGCCTCTCAGGCCTGGCAGGGATGTGGCACAGCTGTGTGTGGAGCAGCTCTACTCTTGGACACTAAGTTGTGGTCTAGAGATTTGCCGAGTACAGACAGGGTAGGGAACAGGGAGAGATGGCCAAGAGACAGCAGGGGTCAACGAGGAGGAGAAGGTGAGGTACGCTTGAGAGCAGGAGAGGAGGACAAGAGAAGCCGCCGGGGGCTGTGGCGAGGGCCTCCCTAACCCACACACCCCCTACTCCCTCATTACCAGCAAGGATGTGGAAAGTTCCTGCAATGGCCAGCATCTTGACCTTCACGGAGAGATCGATGTTTCCCACGTTGGTGCAGCGCAGCCCCACCATGCCCAGAAAGAGGCCCAGGAAGCCCAGGAGGATGGCAGTGATCATGAGGGCGCGGCAGCCCTGGACATACCCTGGGGAGCGGGCAGGGTGAAGCTGTCAGTGTATCTCTTCCACACATCCCTCGGCCGCCATGCTTTCCCACTGGTCTCTAGCACCTAAAGCTCCTAGCAATTTTCCTCTCTGGGATTCACATCAACCTCCCTGTTGGCTCCCTCGTCCTGCACCCCTCCTTTCCCTGCTGGGGTGCTACTGTTGAAACTTTAAAAAAATGAGGGGAAGGGTGCTGGGGCTGGCCCACACCCTTAATTCCAGCACTTGGGAGGCAGAAGTAGGTGTATCTCTTTGAATTTGAGGCTAGCCTGGTCTACAGAGTGAGTTCCAGGACAGCCAGGGCTACACAGAGAAACCCTGTCTCAAAAAAAAAAAAAAAAAAAAAAAAAAAAAAAAAAAAAAAAAACCAAACCAAAGCACTCAAACAAAAAAACATAACATAAACCCAGGCCTCATATTTGTTAAATAACTGAGCATAACCTTAAGCTTCTGATCCTTTTGTCGTCGTCCCGTGTTCGTCTGTGTTGTGTCCATCAGTCCGTGTCCCATCCCTCCACCCCTGCTAGCATGACAGGCACACACAACCAGACCTGGTTTATCTAGTGCTGGGGATTCAACCCAGGTGTTGCCAAATTCCTTCCCTGGGGGAATATAACAAATGTCTACTCCTTCCTCTTGAGGTCCCAGGAGAACAAACCAAAGTAGGATTCCACCAAATACCACCTTGGGGGAACCAGCGAGTTAACTGGGCTGCCTCACAGAGAGCACAGAGAGTGCTTAACTGGCAGAAGGATGGCTGACCCAAAGTAGCCACAACAGTCTTCACCCGGTGTGGACGATGCTCCCATAGCCACAGAGATGAAGCCCCGTCTCCCAGCTGTCCCCTTGAGGAGAGATATACACACACATATAGATAAACACACACACACATATATATATATATATAAATACACACACACACACATACACACATATTCCAGCCTCTCCCTAAGACACCCATGCGATGAGGGTAGAATTGCAAACAAATGGTTGGGAGGGGTGACTGGGAGGTTGGGGTGAGGGTTCCATGCCTCCCATCCTCTCCTTTTCTTATAAAGAATGTCATCAGTCCACAAGCCTGCCTCTCTGAAGGACTCACTAGATCTCACTAGAACTTCAGCATGTTAGGCAAGCACTCTACCAACAGGAGGCGCTACGTCCCCTGCCTGTGTGTTTGTTTGTTTATTGGTTGATTGATTGAGACAAGGTCAAACTGGCCTTGTCAAGGATGATCTTGAGGTAACTCTTGATTCTCCTGCCTCAGCTCCTGGGTTGCTGGGATTACAGACCTGTGCCGACATTCCAACACCATGGACGCTCTGGGTTGGAGTTGAATTTCTTCTGGAGTGACCAGCAGGGGGCAGTAGTGACTCAGAGCAGATGGTCTAGAGCTGGGGGTGGTGGTGGTGGTGGTTGGGGGCTGGGGAGCTGGGAAACCTGAGCCAAGGAACTCATCCCAGTCACTTCAGCTCATAATCTTTTGGTGCCTCAGTTTCCCTTTTCTCAAAGACGAGGAAAGCTGCTATCTCCTCCTCCTTTTGACGGTTGTCAAGCACTCTCAGGGACCTTGTACCCCTTTCCCGGGTGGGGCCCATAGCACGGTGGAGTTACGAGGTAAGGAGGAGGGACAAAGTTCTCTGAGAGGACATTATGACTCCCAGCCGCACCTTCTAGAATTCCCCACCATTTTTGTTTGTTTGTTTGTTTGTTTGGTTTGGTTTGGTTTGGTTTTTTTCGGAGACTGGGCTTTCTCGGAAACAGTCCTGGTTGTCCTGGAACTCATTCTGCAGACCAGGCTGGCCTTGAACACACAGAGACCTACCTGCCTCTGCCTCCTGAGAGTTGGGATTAAAGGTGTGCACTACCACCTGGCTTCCCACCAGTTCTTTTTTTTTTTTTTTTTTTTTTTTTGGTTTTTCGAGACAGGGTTTCTCTGTAGCTTTGGAGCCTGTCCTGGAACTATCTCTGTAGACCAGGCTGGTCTCGAACTCACAGAGATCCGCCTGCCTCTGCCTCCCGAGTGCTGGGATTAAAGGCGTGTGCCACCATCGCCCGGCTCAGTTCTTTTTTTTTTTAATTTATTTATTCTTATTTTATGTACATTGGTGTTTTGCCTGCATGTATGTCTGTGTGAGGGTGTCAGTTCCTGGGGAGTTATAGACAGTTGTGAGCTGCCATGCGGGTGCTGGGAACTGAACCAGGGTCTTTTGGAAGAGTAGTCAGTGCTCTTAACCGCTGAGCCATCTCTCCAGGACCCACCAATTCTTAATGTGCAGAGAATGCTGATGGAGAAAGGAAAGATGACTGAAGGACCTACAGGTCCGTGGGTCCAGTGTCACAGTGGCTTGGCTTGGTGAGCGATGTGGGAAATCACCCCCGTACCCAAGAGGTTGAGGCAAGGGGGCTGTAAGGTCAAGGCCAGCCTGGGCATCTCAGCAAGATTGTCTCAAAATGAAAAATAAGAAGAAAGCCGGGCGGTGGTGGCGCACACCTTTAATACCAGGACTTGAGAGGCAGAGGCAGGTGGATCTCTGGGAGTTCGAGGCCAGCCTGGTCTACAGAGTGAGTTCCAGGACAGTCAAGGCTACACAGAGAAACCCTGCCTCAAAAACAAAAACAAAACAACCCAATAAAATGAAAATAATAAATAAGAAGAGGGCTGGGGCTCTGCCTCAGAGGTAGAGCATTTGCTTGTGATTCCCCAGGGAGGGGCTGGGGTAGGGTGGCTCTTAGAGCTTGAACACCAGCCTAGAATCCCCCAGTGAGGGATAGAGGGTATTGTCTAGCATGCATATAGTTCTTAGTTTAACCTCTAGTACTGGGTGCAAACAGATAGGATCCCTCTTGGGACTCAGCAGACCACAGAGGAAGAAACTGGTCCTCAGCCCAGACACAGTGGATTAGAATCACAGCTTCCTCTCCACTTCCTTGGCCTCTAGGCGGGGTGCTTAGCTCTGCAGAGTGGTCCAGCTAATGATGCAAATATTTCTGAAAAGCACAGATGTGTGTGGGGGAAGGGCAGTGTCCATATAAAAGGAAGAGCTAGATATGGTGGTGAACACCTGTAATCCCAGCACCTAGGAGGCCGATGCAAGAGGATCTTTCTGAGTTTAGGGTCAGCCTAGGACCACATAGTGAGGTCGGGGAACGAACTACATAGTAACACCATGCCTTAAAATACCACACACACACACATAAACACACACACACACACATAAATACACACACACACACACACACACACACACCCCACAAAACAACCCAAACCCAAAAACACGAAAAGGAAGTGATTACAGCCCTGGAGGCCTGGAGACCTCAAGGCTTTCCATCCTCCATCACCCCCAGCAACCTCCCATGTGATTTTCCTCCAAATTCATGTTCTCTTGCAGGCAAAGAGCAGCAACACGGTGAGAGGCCCCTCTTGAGTGGCCAGGCTCACAACCAAATGCCCTCTGCACACCGGGGATGCAGCAGGCTGGCTGGGCACCGAGTTGCCCATATCTATGGTCCCTTCTGAGCACTACTGCTCTGAGTTTGTGATCCACCCAGACACCATCACTGCTCAGGGCACCTTCCAGACTGATGGGGCCATTTCCCAGCACCTACTTTCCCACCCTGGGGGGGCCTCAGAGCCTCCCACCCGCTCATCATCTACAGTCGGATTCCTCGAAACGCAAGATCGGAACCTACTGGCAGGAGCAACCAGGGAGGGTTCTCGGTCATCAACTCTTGGTTTCTGTAGCACGGGGGAGACTAGGAAGTCCAAATGGACCCCTTGGGGGAAATGACGGCATGGGGGTGACGGAGGGTTATTGTGCAGAGGAGCAAGGGGCAGGCAATGCAGGTAGCAAAGGAACGCCAGGGCCCAAGTTAGAGCTGCATGCGGTAGCATGCTAACATCTTCAAACAAAGCAAAACAATAACAACAAAAGCCACACTCTGAGCCCCAAATATACATGCGTGTCCACATAACCACTCTCCAGCATCCACCCACTTTCAGGAGAGTCTCCTCCACAATAAGGGAGCTGCGTCAAGTTCAGCAGGGTAGGTAGACCAGTCTGTTAGTGTCCAGAGGGTTACTGGGGCTAGCAGTCAATCAACCAAGATGGAGTCTTGGTCTCACCCCTGCCAACTGAGCAAACATTCCCCAGAATAAAACACTAAAATATATATATAGTCAACGTCCCATTCACGCCTGCAAGTTTTGTTGCCTAGAGGCCTCGTGACCACTCGCGCACCGGCACCGTGACTGCTCTTAGTTTGCGGATGGCCAAGACCAAATTCATCATCCAAGACCATCACTCATCTGCGGGCTAGAGCTAGCAAAGGCCTGGATTGCACCTGGAAGCTCGACTTAGCTAAGGAGGGTCACACGTCAGGACAGGGAGCCATGTATAGCTCTGGGTCATGCAGGACTCTTTGCTGCAGCTGCCCGGAACCGAGGGCTTGACCTGAACTTGTCGTTATGGTGCCTAGGCCAGAACAACGGCAACCACCTCCAACCTGTCCTCTAGGATATCTCCAGCCAGCCACCCAATCTCCCTCTGTCCCCTAGAGCCCCCTTCACCCCATACCAGAGAGGGCCAGCATGGAAGGGAACTCCCAGCAGTTGGAGACTCCCATGGAGTCGGTGGCACAGCTGTACCATAGGTTCTCAAAGATGGTGTTGGTGGTGATGACGTTCCCATTGACGGTAGACACTCTCCAGTAGCTGTTGGGTAGGGTCACCCCCAGCATCAGCAGTCCCAGGGCTGCCATGAAGAAGCCGAAGGTCTCCACAGCTATCGACATGCTGGGATGCAGATCCCCCAAGGGGCTGGAGCCCCAGGGATTGGGATAGATGTGGCACCTCCAGGTGAATTCTGGGGGCTTTGGAGACTAAGGAGGGAGAAGGGTGTAGGACGGGCCGTGCAGCTGCGATCCTCGTCTGCCTTCTCCTGGAGCTCAGGTCTGATTGTCTCGGCCCAGTCTCTGGGACTCTCTCCTTCCTGGCAGGTCAGAGGAATGAGCCAAGCCTGCTCCGCTCAGCAGCTGTTGACTGCGATGGAGGGAATAAACGGGCCAAAAGTCCACCCCCTCCCCCGGCCTAGCCCGGGACTCCCCGCCCTAAGAGGGGGGGGGGAGCTTGGACTTACTAGGAGACTCAGGGATACAGCCAAGGAAGAAGCAGCCCCCAGGGATCCATCAGGAATCCAGGGGAAGTGGCCTGTCTCTGACTCAGCTGTCACCAGGGTCGGGGAATGAAATGAGGGACAGAGAGTTTTCGGTAGCTGAGAGATCAGCGTGTCAAGAGAGAAGAGAACCTCCAACGGGCCCACCACAGGCTTCTGCGATGGATTGAGACTCCCCAAGAGCAACCCAAGTCACTGAAGACCCCAAGTTGGGACACTTACATCCCCCGAGGACCAGGAAGGTTGATTCCGGGGCGACAGAAGCTCTGGAACCCAGCCACCTGGTTCCCACTAGACTCCAGCATTATCAAAGGGCTGGAGGTTTTGGCTCTCAGCCTTGTTGACACAACATTATTGGCTTCTTAGGTTGTAATGGGAGTTGGGACCACAGATCACAGCTCCCGGCACACTCCCATCGCCCCAGCAGTTGGTAATTGCCCTGGATCTGAAAGCTGCAGGCTGAGGTGAGGCCACCAATGCTACTTTCCTCCAAACTTCCTGAATTGTCCCTCCCGGAGCTGACCTTTGACGCTTCGGTATTGAGCTTGATCTCATTGCCAAGGGCCCAGGGGCCCAGGGTTGGGGGATGGATCGCGAGCCTAGGAAATGATTCTGGTTGATCTCTCTGCCTATTCACTTACTGAGAACTTATCACCAGCTCTATTAATTCATTCTGATTAACGGAAGCCTCTGGGTCCCCCAACTCCATCCTGGCTGCGCACCTGTCTGAGCATAAAGATTGCCTTCTTGACCACGTCTCGCTTGGTGAGTTGGCACCAGTGTTCCCTTTCTGGAGTATGTGAGACAAAGCCATGCCCTCTGACACCCCCACCCTTTTCCTGCAGCAGACTCCTCCGTGCTCCCCCCAGGTACCTCCCCCCCCCCCCCAGCAAGCCTGGCAGGGGCTGTGGAATGATAAGTATGCCGGGAAGCCAAACAGGCCCACGCAGAGCCTGGCACAGGGGGCGTGGGGTGAGATCTGTGAGCTCTCTGCCTCCCGTCCCACAGGCTGGGATTGGGGTATCCTGTGCCCGACAACCCCCACAGCCCCTGGCATCTTCATACGGCTTCCTCTCTCATACTACGTCATCCATCCATGGCCCCCTAAGAAGGACTGGATAGAGGAAGGGGAGGGGGCGGCAAGACAAAGGGAGGGAAGGGCGGAGGTTTTCGGAGGAAGCCCAGTGGGGGCCCCCTGCAGTGGAAAACTCCAGGCGGCTTAGTGGGTCAGAGGAGACCACGGTCATAAATCCCAGGCTGCTGTTCCCTCTTCTGTTTGCTGTTCTCCCAGGATTCTGGGGCAATGGAAAGGCCATGTACTCCGAGCTGTTCCCTGTTCCTGCCTTGTGCATTCAGGATAGGGGAGGAAGGAAGGGTGTGGGCTGGGATGTAGGCAAAGGAACCTGAAGGGGGGTAGCGGGGGCCACAGTGCACCCAGTGAACCCGCTCCTCCCTCAACAGACTCTCCAGCACAGAGGTTCCCAAGCCGCAGCCCAATTTTATTTACACTCATTGCAAAGCTTGACTCAGGGCTAAACAACAGGTGCTGGGGGATGAGAGGGTGAAGGTCACGGAGACTGCAGAGATGGATGACGAGGGGTGGGGAGGAGAAGGGAAGATGATGGTGAGGACGAACAGGACCCTCTTCCAGTGGCCCCCAGGCTCCCGGGTGCACCAGGGCAGAGAGCGGGTGAGGCTGTCTTCAGGATTTGGACTTGGAGACAGCTAGTCCAATGAGTCCGGCCAGTCCCGCCACACCCAGGGCCATGCCACCAACAATGGCCATGCCCACTAGTCCATCTGAAAAAGACAGAGGGGGCCGTGAGCAGATTGATCCTGTCCCCCACAGAAGAGTCTGGAGGCTGGGGCTCCAGGGACCCTCGAGGGGGGTAGGTTTGATAAAGGACTGTGGGGGGGTGTCACCTTTCTTCATAGCCTTGTCGATGAGGCGCTCCAGCTCCTTGGCCTGGGTGTTCTGCGGCTCAGTCTGCAGTAGTCCTCGCACATACTTTAGGGCCTTTTCATACTCCTGCAGTCAAAGGGAGAGGCCTCACACCACATGCTCGCTCGTCAGAATGCTGCCCGCCAGCCCCCACCCAGAGCCGTCCGTCCTTCCTGGCCTCAGCTCAGGCTCATCTTCCTCCCCCACTCCTGCTACAGCCCCACCCCACAGAGTAGAGTCCACAAACAGCCCAGCTGTGGGGGGGGTGATAAGCTAGTGGAGATAACAGCTACAGGCATGGGGCTGCACCCCAATCCTGACGTCACCATGATCTCCACACCCTGATACTCTCTCATCCTCCCTTAGAGTCTGTCCTGGAATTACTGTATACCCATGCACTTACACCCCAGCCCACTGCCCGCTGCTAGCTTCCTGAGGGCCAGGGCTCTGTCTGGAGGGCTCAAGCGGAATGAGCAATGGGAAGAAGGACTCTGTGCCTTACCTTGAGTCGGTAGTTGCCCGCCGCCAGGTAGAAGACGTAATCCCGCTGTTCCTCTTTGTTCCCTTTGGGCAACAGCTCTGGAGGGAGAAGGGAGAGGAGAAAGATGATTCTCTCTCTCTTGTTTTTTAAATTTATATTTATTTTATTTGATGTGCACTGGTTTTTTGCCTGCATGCATGTCTGTGTGAGGGTACTCGGATCCTCTGGAACCAGAGTTATAGATAGTTGTGAGCTGCCGTGTAGTAGCTGGGAGTTGAACCCAGATCCTTGGGAAAAGCAGCTGGTGCTCTTAACTGCTGAGCCGTCTCTCCAGCCCCTGGATTCTCTTTTTAACAGTGCGCCCCAGAGGTCCTGCCATGCTGACTCACTCTAGGATGCTGGGAAGGTCACTGTCCTAGACCTCCATTATCAGCTTCTATCACCCTCTGCTTTCTAGTTACAGCCCCATGTGGATGCTGGGAACCAGCGACCTGGTCCGCACTGCTGCAGTCTGCATGGAAGGGCGCATCCCCACTGGCCAGCTACTGGTCTCACCGCAAGGTCACTCCTGCCGGACATTTGCATTCCCTCTTTTGTGACAGCTACCCGAAGACGACCAGAACTCTAACCCTCCTGCTGCCACCTCCTGAGTACAGGACCACACCTGGTTTCTACAGTGCCAGGGGTGGAACTGGACCAGTGCTTCAGTCCCGTACACAGGAGACAGGCACTCTGCTGACTGAGCTTTCCCCTTTCCCCGAGACGGGGTGTCTCTGTGTAGCCTTGTCTGTCCTGGAACTCGCTCTGTAGACCAGGCTGGCCTCGAACTCACAGAGACCCACCTGCCTCTGCCTCCTGAGTCCTGGAACTAAAGACACACACCACTACAACGCACCCTTTTCTCTTAGTTTTCCTGAGCGACCCTCACCTGACTTTTTTTTTTTTAATTTTTTTCTCTCCGCGGGGTAGGTAGGGGTTAAGATTAGGACTCAGAGCCGGGCGGTGGTGGCGCACGCCTTTAATCCCAGCACTCGGGAGGCAGAGTCAGGCGGATCTCTGTGAGTTCAAGACCAGCCTGGCCTACAAGAGCTAGTTCTCGGACAGGCTCCAAAACCACACAGAGAAACCCTGTCTCAAAAAAAAAAAAAAAAAAAAAAAAAAAAAAAAAAAGATTAGGACTCAGAGCTAGCAATGGTAGTACACACATTTAACCCCAGCACTGGAGAGACAGAGGCAGGAGGATCTCTGTGAGTTTGAGACTAGTCTGATCTACAGAATGAGTTCCAGGACAGCCTGGACTACAAGAAGAAATCCTGTCTTAAAAGTAGGTAGACAGACAGATAGAATAAGATAGGGCCACTCGCTATGTGGCCCAAGCTGGTTTCAAACTCTCGATCAGGTGCCTGAGGCTCCTGGTGCTGGAGTTACAGGCATATGCAACCATCCTTTGAGGCTAAGTTCTGCAGTGTTGAGATCTTCTCAGTGTCCGCACTGTGCCCCTCATGAGACTCAGACACTCCGAGACCACTTTTCCTGTTGTGCCCTACTACACAAGAAACCTGAAGAATCCAAACCGATCCAAGTAGGGGACAGCATTTGCTTTTACGAGGATCCCTGAGCTCACAGCTTACTTCCCAGCACTAAGGTGGCTGAAGCAGACGTGGAAGCGTCCCAAGCTATACAAAGACCCTGTGTCAAAACCAAAAACTAAATGACGCAGGCATCTTTGTTAGTATTGTTCTTTGATTGCCTCTGGCATTATCCCAAGATGCCCCTCAGATTCCAAAACCTACAGATATAAAGGCCCTTATATAAAATTAAACCGTATTTGCATAGAACCTAGCTGTATTCCCCAAAGATGCCTTTTTAAGACAGGGAGCTCGGGGGTAGCCCAGGCTGACCTCGAGTTTGATCGGTACGGAGCTGACTCTGGTCTTCAACTTCCTGCTTTCATCTCTGCAGTCACGTCCCCATGCCTCCACCTTTGGAGCGCTGGGATCACATGCTCTTAATACAACAGCCCCACAGATATTCTAATCTCTAGAACTTTCTTAATTACAGCTACCCAACACAATGTAAATGCTACATTAACAGCAATTAATAACCGAACAAGAAGTGTTACGTGGATACTGTGTGTGTGTGGTATGTACGGGTAGCTGTGTGCACATGTCCATACAGACCAGAGGCACTCTCTACCCCATCCCCTTGAGAAAGAGTCTTCCTCTGCACCGGGGCTAAGATTGCAGCAAGAAAGCCCCCAGCAATACCTCATTTCTATTCTCTATACAGACATTTGCAGCCACAACTATCAGCTTTTTCCATGGGTGCTGGGGATTCGAACTCAGGTCTTCATACCTGCACAGAAGCACTCTGAGTTGCCTGAGAACATGTATTTTTTTTTCCCCACAGCATTTTCCACATGAATGAATGTTTGGATGTTGAAATTGGGGATACAGAGGAGCAACCTAGTCCTCTGCTGCAGTGAAGTTACTGGTGGCTACTGGGTGGCAAATGAGCCATGGGGTGAGGTCAAGGGACCCAGCGCCTTACCCTCTAGGAGCATGATGCCTTTACGGATGTCATCATTGTATTTGCTTCGCACCAGGCACCAGGCGTACTCAAACTGTGTGCTTTTGGATACTGAGCCAGCCGCCTGCTCAGACTGAAATTTCCTTTCAAAATTCTGTCGTTAGAGAGAGAAGACATCATTTATAAGCAAAGGGCATCCACCGTTCCCCAGCTGAACTCGGTGTCTAGTCCCAGCTAGACCACCTTCCCCTTGCAGATCTTGGTACCCAGGCTCGGTGCCCTCCCCTTTGATGGTCCCTGCACCCAGCCCCTAGTGGTACCAAGTGGAGATGCCACCTGGTGGCAGCTGCGGACACTGCTCCCGGACCAGCTGACCCCAAGAAGCTGA